CCGCCGTATCCATGACGGTGGTCGTGGCGGTGGCGGAGGATGTTGATGAGTTTGTTTTAGTAGTCCGGCAAGGTAAGTAAGGTGAGGTATATTAGTGTGAAATGAGAATGAAGGATTGCATATTTGTGTTGAATGGGTGGAAAATAAATATGATTTATACAACAAAAAACTACTACAACTACAAAATACAGCTATTAGTTATTTTACCAAACGTGGTAATTTATATATGAAAATATAATGTGAAACATTATAAATCTAAGCTTTGACTTAGTGGGTAAACCGTGTGCTTATATTCATCTAGAACATTAATTTTGTTAATAAATTTTACCTTTATTAATCTCAAAACTTATTTCTTTTAGTAAAACATTTTTTTAAAAGTGAGGAAACAAGAAAACGTTAGTCAAGTAGTGTAAGATACTCTCGATTCTCACTTAAATCAAAAGTTCAAAAGTTTAATTAACGTTACTTGTTTAGAGAAATAGTCATACACACCAAAAGATTAGTTCATTCATTACCTAAGGTATCATTGACAATTTGGGCAAAACTCATAGGTTCGACTCCCAATTTGTATTTATTGGGCGGACAGGGCATGAATAATGTGTCCATCTGCCATAAAATGTCCGCCCAATATGCTCTACTTGTTCACTGACATTTCAAACGAGTGGCCCATGGACATTACTAGTGAAAGTGTAATTCATTTGTTATATACTTTGTATATCAAATGTGAGAAACTAGTCACATTTTCTTATTATATATACACATTTGTATTTTGTATATTATGTATCTACATGTAGTTATGTACCATTATTTTTATATTTTATATGCAAATTATGTATTATGTATATTTTGTATTATACTTATATGCATTTATGTATTGTATATATTGTTCCATTTGTATGATTGTTTATTATCATAAATATGATTGTACATTTATATGGAAATTATTTATTACTTATTTATTTTATATGATTATTGTATATACAATTATATATATATTAATTATTTAAGGTGGTCTGTAAGCCCGTCCTGCCCATATTTAGGGTGGGTAGGACATGAAATTTATGCTATGTTTAAAAATGAGTATGCCTATATTTTTTAATTTAGGTGAACATTACGTGGACACCAATAGAGCGGACAAGACAACACTAATTTCTAATATTAGTGACTCAAAATTTATTTTTAAAATTATAAGATTCCGTTGACCAAAAAATGGTGGAGGTGGGGGACTTGATTCAAAGCGGTTTATTAGGTTAACTTAATCTTCTTTTAATTTGATATTGATTACAACAGCTTGTCCGTGTTCTATACGATTATCTGACAAAAGCTTCTCATTTTTTTATATCATGTTAATCAATTTCACTTCTTTTCTAAATGGGTTAATAATTCCATTAAATAAGTTAAGTGCGAGTGTTATCCCAATATTTCTTAGACTTGTACATGGAGTGGTCTTAATAAAATGTAATTTAAGAAAAATCATATATCATTCTTATAAATTTCCACACAAAGTAGCGTGCTAATTTATTAATTGATGGATGATTTGTAAGATGATCTCATTAGTATAATTTAACAAAGCTAGCATGTTGCTTAGTGTGCATTGCGCCAAACTCTTGGGTTTGCTTGGCAATTCATTTTCTAGTGGTAAATTCCATTTTTTTCATTTTCTAGTTATTTTTTTATTCTATTAGAATTTTAATAATAAATTATGATATGAAATTGAACTAATAAGTTCATAATAGATGATATGAAATTATTAATTCAATTCCAATGATGGGATATGTTGTTTTTGCTTATGTATATCTTGGTTTTTTGGTCTCTATAATTTGGATTAATCCAATTGTGTCATTTTTTGCCATGAGTTTTTTTAATGTTGTTAATGTCAAGATGTTATTAAAATTAGGTCATAATCGTCACATTTGAAGATATCCAATTATACAATAACAAATCATTAAATTTTAAGTCCACTCCACTAATTCATATTTTTTCTTTCCCTTTCCCTCAGAACCTTTCCCTTAACGCTACCCACTTCCTCGACTCTACCACCACTCTTATTAAAATGTTAGCAACGTGGAAACCTATAAAACTAGAAAGATTGGAAAAGATGAAGTATATGAGAAAATGAAGGGCTCCTGAAATATTAGTTGGATGGTGTGAAATTATAAAGGTTGGAATTATAATTCAGAGGGTGTTAGGAATTGGTGGGTTGTTGTTGAGGCCTTGAGGGAGAGAAGAGAGAAAGGGAAAGACTGGAAGAGAGAAGAGAAAAAAAATGGTGGGGTAGACTCAAATCCACAATTTAATGATTTGTTAAGGTTGTTGAGAATTGGTGGTTTCAAAGTGAAACTAAAGCACGAAATTCAAAAAATCTTCAAGTCCCATATTGGTTTGAGGAGGGAAGATGAAAAGCTTTATAAGTCTTAAAGTCCTACATTGGGGTGTGCCCCAAGGGTACAATACACACTCACAAAACCCCTCCACGCGCGCGCACCACCACCACCTCCGCTGGCCGGCCGACTCGTGTTCCGGCCCAACATTCTTTTTAGTGAAAATAATTTTTTATTTATTTATTAATTCTTTTAGGCCATTGGGCCTATGCCAATGGACCCGTGTGGATGATAAACTCAAGCTTGACTAAGTCACCAACGTGTAAACCGAGAAGGATCCAGAAGAAGCATGAAGCCACGCTGCATGATCCGCGCGTGACTTCCTCCAGGCCGTAGATGAGATCAGATGATAGAGGCCTCCCCTCCTCATTGTTACTCGCACCAAGAGCAAGTACACTTATACTCGCTCTTCTCTTTCTCCTTTCATAATTTATGCAGACGCAATTCCGGCCTCCTTTCTCTCCCTTTCTTTCCGTGACACTAGAATTGGAACAGACATCCAATATTGTGGGGAATTCAGAATACTAACACTAGTAGTCAGTTGTTAGAATAGAATTGGCACGAGAAGCCAATATTATGGGTATTTCGGAATTGGCACTGGAAGCCATATTTTTTGGTGTATTCGAAAACAATTCTTACAGTGCAGTAAGAAATCGTATAACAGAGAGTTGTGCTGTTTTATCCTGGGGACGGCGTGGTTGATAGTCTGCTTGCACATTGAGGCAGTACCACGAAACGATTTAAAGAGAGCGACCTGGTCGTGACTCAGGCAGTAAAGATTATCTCGTGTCATTGTTGCGAGCTACCGATACAACAAAGGTGTAATTGGGTGTATTCTGATGTGTTGGGGAAGTCTCCAACCAAGTTTTTCTTTTTTTGGTACTATCAAATGTATTTTTTACATTTTGGGTAAAGGTGGGTATCAACTTATTCCAAGAGTAAGTTTTTTAAACTTATTCCACATCTTAACCATCAATTTTAGGGAAACCCAATGATTTAGATCTACCCACTAATTCAAACCATTGTATTTCTCTAGAATTGATGACTAAGGTGTGGAGTAAGTTTAAAAAACTTACTCTTGGAGTCAATGAATCTCTCATCTTTGTGTAATAAACTAATCATTCTTATGGTGAGTCCATCCGAACAAGTGTCGCTCCCAAGAATTGACATTTAACATTTTGGTCTTCATGTGGATATAGTAAAACTTTAGACTACTAGAAGAATATTTTTTTGGTATTAATCTTATTAACAATATCTTGAGTATTTAGGTTAAGTTACATATTTTAAAGGATAACTTAAAATTTAAACTTTGAGATTGAAGATTGATTAGGATGAACATTAATGGTCTTACAACTTAGTCTTAACATGATATCTCTCTCCAGATTCATGAATTTACTCATTATATCACCTTTAAACGTAAGTAACTTGCAATATTTTATTCCTCTTAAAGAAAGACTCTCGCAACTTCAACCGGTAAGCTAAGGGACTTATATGCACATATTCTATTGAGTCGTTATCACTAAGTCCATGTGGTTACATGTTCGAGTCGTATCAAACTCATTCTAAAGAGAATAAAATATTGTCATAAATATTTAAACTTGAAAAATGACATAATCAATAAATTCATGAACACACAAGAACCATATGTTATTAAGATTGTATAAATATCAATTTGAATGTTATTAACTTTGCACCTTATTAATCAATTTGGTTGCTAATAAAAATTTTATTCTAAAAAAAGGTTAAATTAAATACTATGTAAAATTGTTAGGAATCAAATTAATATTTTTTTCAAATAACTTAGGTAAGCTTAGTGTACTTTTCAGCCCTCAAACTTCCATTTCATTATCTTTTGATCATTTCTAATTTTATGACAATTGTTGGTGCTATTAGTGATTAATTACACAAATTGTGATTAAATAAAAAAGGGTGTGATTAAACAAATCAGAATGCAAATAGCTTGACACTTAATTAATTGATGCTCCTGCCCGAGTCATTGCCAGCCAATGAACGTGTCAACCAATTCACACCACAACAATTGTTTCACTTTTTTTTATTGACAGAGAAAAATAAGAATATATATTATAATAATAAATATTTAGAATTTAACATTATGTTTTAGTTTTTTTGAAGTGTTACTGTGTATTATTTTTATATGGCTGATTACTGTGTTACTGTGTGTCTGTTAATTTTATATAGCTCATTTTGTTGGCAAATGGCAATCCATTAAATATAGTTGGTACCATTGAAATAAACACACCAGTTAAATTATCTGCTTTATAAAAAACAAAAAACAAAAACGACCAACCTCACAAATTTTTTAACAAAACAATTACATAGCTAACAAATTTGCATTCAAATGTTCTCTAAAAACCCTTCATCTAGCAGAGTCAGACTTAGTCAACGATCTTAACCTCACAAAAAATTTGACTTTCTTTTCACAATTATTCGACCCATGTTCCTTCCTCTTCTTCCCATTCAACCCATCCCAATTATCCGGTGACCCCATCATCAACACACTCTCCGGTGACCTCAACCCCACTCCCACCGCCGTCTCCTCATTATCTGTCTGCTCCCATCCCTCACCACCGCCGCGACCACCGCCACCAACCACCATCATCCTACTCTGCATAGCACTCACCACCTCCCTCATCGCCACGTCAGCATCATCCCTATTCCTTAACAAAATCTCCCCAACCTGTGCTGGCGTGAGGGACCCACCATTCCTAATACACCCTTCAACATTCTCAAACATCACGTGCGATTCTACTCCAAGGTAGTTTCTAACTAACTCCTTAAACGCATGGACCCCGCACGTGCCGAGACTCACGTGAACATCCATGCGCCCGCACCGCACTAGAGCGGGGTCCACGCTATCACGATGGTTAGTTGTAAACACAACTAACCTCTCCTCTCCGCAACAAGACCATAGCCCATCAGTGAAATTTAAAAGCCCTGAAAGTGTGACACGTCCACTTTCTTTATCTGAATATCCAAACGATGTCGTTTTCGATTTCCCGCTTTTCCATTTTGGATAAGTTGTTGTTATTGCATTTGCATTCGACTTTTTTAACATCCTATCGGCCGTTAGATCAAGCGAGCAATCAATGTCCTCGATCACAATGATGGAACGGTTTGTCGTTTGTATCAAAAGAGATCTTAGTTCTGAATTATCAGAAACTTTAGTGAGTTCTAAATCGTACACGTCATAGCATAGAAAATTTGCTATAGCAGCAATTAAGCTTGATTTGCCAGACCCGGGTGGGCCATGGAGCAAGTAACCCCGTTTCCAAGCCCGGCCCACACGGTGATAAAAATCCTTGCCGTTTGAAAACGCCGTGAGATCTTCTTTGATTTGCTTCTTAAGTTCAGGCTCTAGCGCCAGCGTGTCAAACGTCGAAGGATGACGAAACGGAACGGAAACCCAACCTGATTCGAATGACCCCGACCCGTTGTTGTTGGTGAAGAGTCTTCGTTCACGTGACACGCGCTCGAACTCCTCAGCGCGTGAGGTGACGTGCGCCAGGTAGGGTGATAGCAGCGAGTGGCGGTGGCGTTTAGGGAGGCGGAGCGTGAAGCTGCGCTTCTCGTCGAGGGAGTCTTGAACAGTATCGACTTGATGAGTCCACGCTAGGCGGTGGCCGTTGAAGTTGTCGTGAACGGTGTGGTTTGGAGCGACGGCGAAGGAGATGCGGTTGGAGGAAGGTGAACGGGAGAGAGTGACACGGCGGCATGCGGCGGCGGGGGAGTGGTTAACGGCGTTGAGGTAAATATGGACATGGCGGTAGAGATCGTTGAGATCAACGCCGCAGTAACCGTTGAATTCTGGAATCTCAAAGTAAGAGTATGGAGATAACAAATCTTGAAGATTCTCATAGAAAGAATGAAGCAGAGAAACAAGCTGTGACGGAAGCACATTTTGGAGCACTGTAAGTAACCCTAACAGTGACCACATTTGTGATAATATCTCCATTTTTTGTATCTATGTTTGTTGGTTTGAGATTGAAGTGGAAAAATAGAGTGTGAATGGTTTATTTTGTTTCTTCTTTTTGTGTTATTATATATACAATGAATAAAGTGGGAACATAGAATTGAGAGCATATAAGAGAGTAGGGAAAAGTTAAAGGTAAAGATGATGAACCAGATTACTTTACTTTTTTGCTTTTGCTTTGTTCGTTTTACTGGAGAATATTATGTTATTGATAGATCATAGCTATAATCTCAGAAAATGCAGTTTTTATTATTTGGTAAAGGTGTGTTCTCTAATCTCTATCATTTCTTTTTGTGGGATCAAAAACCAAAATAGCAGAAAATGTGCATGATACATAATAATGCTACACACTTACTTAATCACATGTAGTTTTACATCTATGCGTAGCTCATTTTTTCAATGTTTGCATTATGATTTCATGATGATATTGCCACCTCATAGTGTTGTGATCAAGCATTATGCTTTCAGTGAGTACCCAAATTTAACCACACTGAAAATGTGCCCCCAAATTTAAAATTTAAAAGCATAATTTTTTTAAGAGAAAAAATATGTATGCCGTTGTAAGAGATTTTTACCGTGTAACTGTTTGACCATTCATATTTGGTCATTAGTTGCGGAGCCATTCACTCACACTTCAGTGTGTGCATGGAGTTTTTTGTGTGTGTACATATTATCATTATAGTTGATACTTTTGGCACTCATAGTCATATAAAATTGCACCCATACTATTCATTTATCATATTTTGATGCATTTTAGATTACTCAATAACTCAGAACCCTTGTTCCAGGATCCTAGATATGCCACTATTGAACATTATTGACTTTTAAATATAACTAATGCAATATATAAATCTTTACACTGACACTGCAAGATATTACACTCATTTTCTAAATTACCTTAAAAATCTCAAACATTGTACAAATTAATTATTTTCCAGATAAATTTTAGGATACATTAGCCCATCCCAAGAACTATTGTGGCTATCATTGCTATTTTGCAAGGATCAAGTTGAAAATTCTCATTTTAGGGACTAAATTAAGGGGGGCATTTTTTGCTGAAAGATAAACTTGAGTATTTATTCTTAACCTTTTTTTGTCAATTGTCAGGTTCAAACTTTCAATTTTGTCAAAAAAATCTTTTCCTTAACTGTTTATGCTACTTGCATTTTCTTGTTTCATGTTGCATTAAGCTTTAATCTTTGGGCATATTCTTCAAAAATCAATGAATTTTCATAAGCATCTTGGTCTTGAAACAATGCACACGCACTAGGTAGCTTTAGTAAAAGGTTTACAAGAGATAATGGCATATTATATTACAGTGGCACGCATGCAGATACACGGAGTATGGTATGGTACTATGGTATGAAGGGGATCTTGTTGAGTAGAAACTGCTTTTGTTCTTTCTTGACAATTCACACTTCATCTTTTTTCTGTATTCGTTCATATAATTTGCTTTTTCAGAAGTTGGAGAATGTTCTTAAGACTAATCATATACCTCATGACTCACTCATCATGAGTACCAAGTAGGAGAGATAATGAGGTTATGATGATTATTTGCTCATGGTGATTTCCATATTTTACTGTACATGTCAATTCAAATTTAGTATTTTTGTTTCATAGATCATCATGTTTTTTCTTCACCCCGGTAATGGTTGTAATGAGGGCTAGTCTCAATAGTAAGATTATTTATTTATTATTTGGAGATTATGGAGGGTTTAAATCCTGACACATTTTTTCCACTTGCGGGATAAGACTGCATATATCTATCATTTCTAGACCGTATTGATGAGAGCCTTTGAAGCACCGACACATGAAACTCCTTCACGTGTCGGTGTCGGAGCGACATGTATCCGACACGGATACACTCCGATTCATCATGGATACGTATCCGTAGAGTATCCAAAAATAAAATAAAAAAATATTAAGATACGTATCTGAAACGTTTTGAACAAAAAAAACTAGGATGGTAGGATACGTATCTAAAACATTTTCAACAAAAAAAACTAGAATATATATTATACGTTTTAATCAAAGCATCCCAATAATCAAGGTAAATACCAACTTATTTAAAAACAAACACTAATGAATGCAAACACTAATGGAGAACAATGATTTGCAATTTCCATTATACTTTCTACTTTGGATATTTTGATTTACACTTATAATTTTATCATATTTATATATTTTTTACTATTTTATACGTGAATCCTTGAACGTATTGTATCATATATTTTAGAAAAAATGTGTATCAGCGTATCGGATACGTATCGTATCCGACACACGTATCCGTATCTATGCTTCATAGATGAGAGCCTCAAACACTCTGAGACTTCTTATAATGGCCATAAGCCATTACAAGTGAGGTTTGATTTCAATGCACAAGTATTAACATACTGAGTTGCTCATTTGGTTGGGTAATTCCATGGACAGAACTTTTCATTACTTAAATGTTTTAGGGCTAGTTATGAGAGTGAGATGTATAGATCTGAAAGATATGAAAATGGTGGTATTCTTTCTTGTGCATTACATTTCTTTTCCATCTTTACATGCTTGTGCTTTTAAAACAAAGTTTCATTTATGCTTTTTACAGAAATTTGTCTAAAAACCCTTTACTTAAAGCAATGTAATTTGTACCTTCAGATTATAATCCTGTGGTGTTTGGATGTCGTTCTTATCTTCATCTTTGTTTGCCCTTTCAATGGTTTTAGGTATCTGCTTATAAAATGGTTGAAATTTTGAGAAAGGGTCATGGAAAGAGAAAATAAAAGGAGGAGAAAAAGAAAAAGAAGCATGTGTATATTAGCATAAAAAGCCACGAATATGGAGGATGGGCAAAAAATTCAGTGTAGGTCAGCCTTGAGAGAAAGCTCTCCTTAAATGGGGTATCAAGAATAAAGCCAAAAAGAGGGTTCTCCTTGGAATGTCAATCATCTAATGGATCATATTCCATCTATGTTTAAGGGTTAGAATGGATTAAACTATTAAGCTTGAGTAGAGATCCTCTCCATTAATGGAGAGACAAGTGATGTGTAAAACAAGGTAAAAATGAAAAGACAATTATGTCTTTCTATTTACACATGTAATCATTTTAATTCTTAAGGTAAGTGTAAATACATCATTTGTCTTTCCATTAATGGAGAGGATTTCTATTCATTAAGCTCAGGGTGTAATCAATAGCAATTCTAAATCAATCAATAGGTAGAAAATTGTACTTTAAGCATAGGTCATGGTAAACTATTATGACGTCGTTCGATCCATGAAGCCGGTTATTGGGTCGATTATTACTTCTACTTGTGATTACACCTTAGGCCTTGAATAATCTCTGCTTAAATTGGGGCATCAGAATAAAGGGAAAAGTGGCATGGAATGTCAAGTGATCAAATGAATCATATTCCATCCATATAAAGGGGCTTATTACAATTTACAAGATTTATTTTATCAAGAAAATAAAATTGATCACACTACATAGCAGAATAGTGTTATCATTTTCTATTATGGAGGACCAAAAGTAATCATAGTGGAAAACAGCATCAAATCACAACCTCAATTGATTTAATTCTTGTCCATGTTGAATTGATAAAAATAATGTTCAAGACAAAGGGAAAGTTGAAATTCACAACAACAAAAAACACCTCTACTATTCTTTGATCCTCATCCGTACTTAAAATGAATTATTATACCTCATATGTTAATAGTTATTAATTCGTGATAATCTGTTTCCTTGTTCATTAAGATAATCCATTCTTTCCCCCCAAAAAAAAAGAACCATTATTTTCTGGTTTTCATCAATACATAGACCAGAGGGATCCACTTACTCCAAGAGTAAGTGGAAAATAACTTACTCCACATCTTAACCATCCAATCTTAGAAAATCTAATGGTTTGAATTGATAAGTACATCTAAACCATTGAATTTTTCAAGATTTGATGGTTAAGATGAGGAGTAAGTCATTTTCCACTTACTCTTGGAGTAAGTGGATCCCTCCTCATTTATGATATATCAAAGTATTTTATTATTGGTTTTCTTAACCTCATCGGTTGGGTACGAGGATAACCAATAATTATCACTTTTCATCAATGTATTAAGTAGATGCATTTAGTTATATTAAAATTATTTGCTGTGTACATTCTTTTAAGGTTGATGTTTTGATTAAATGATATAATTAAATTTGTATGTTTTGACTAAAATATCTCTATTAAGTATAGAAGTTGAAAAAAAATTGACATCTAATGTGATATATGCATTTAGTTAATTGTTGCATATTCATTGGTCATACTTCACACTCCTAAACATTAATCAATGAACTTAGATAAACATGTATGTCTTTTTTCTGATTGTTTGGGTCCGAAATTATCATATACAACATAATACATTTGTTGTTCATGCTCAACCAACAAAGGAATATATCACCAAAAAAACACTTTGAGAACAATGTTTACTACTTCACTTACTATAATGAGTCATTCCATCGCATGTCCAAGTTGATTATGATTTCTTGGCAATATTCTATATTTTTTCCAAAAAAAATCTAAAACCTATAATCAGTATCAAGAATTATAAAATCAAAATCTAATAAAAAATAACCAATTCAACAAGCAATAAATCACAACCAGAAATGCTTCCATATTATAACCTAAACCTGACTAAGTAGCCAAAAATGTTGTATTAATTCTTAACAACCGACAAAAATCAGATGCTTGTCTAGAAACTTTGTTGCTTCAAATTCATTCTAAAAACATATTTATTTTGTCTAAAAATTGAAGTTACCTAACAGATAACGTGATGGAATTGCATTATGAAACATTGTACGCATAATTAGGAAACCATACCACCCGATTCAATTAGTGAACAAAAAAAATCCCTAACCAAATATTCACTAGATGGATGTTTTTATGGGTATAATTGAATGGATCTCCTCATCGTATAAAGTGCAAAACTCATATTTTTTTGGGAGCATTTAACTGTCTTTTCCAACAAATTTCGCTTCTAGGATTCGAATATTTGACATTTGATCTAATAGTATGAGAATCATGAATCCAATAAAACCTTATACCACTAGATAAATCGGTTCACTAATCCTAATGTTCAGCTTGAGTTTTCTTATGCACCGGTCGAGTTTTCGCCTTGAAAATCTCTTTATTACGTCACCTTATATTGCCACTAAATTTTGAAATACTAATATTGTTAATACTTTTTTGAGCTTTTCTACTTTATTTGATCCCAAAATTGGTACACAAATCAAATTAATTTTCAATCAAATAAAAGCATGATGTCATGCAATACAAACACTTTTGTAATCAATATAGTCAACCACCTCCCAAAAATATTGTTGACCATAAACAATCATAAAAAATAAAATCTTAGATATAAGGGTTAACATAAACCACTCAACATTCACTAATCATTTATGTTAAAATGTCATGAAGATAATGGCTCGAATTTGACCCAAGACAAGCAGCAACAGCAGGATGACCCAGGGAAATTGACCCATGACCAAGAGAATCAAGTCGAACATAATCAAGTTGTGCAGATGTCCATGGCAAATGGGCCAACAAACCAGGCCACCAATCTTCAATCTCTCTCTCTTGGACATTTTATCAAACACTCCTTATGATGCTGAAGGGATTTCTTATGCAACAAGTCATGATGGAGTCACATGACTAATTGAGATTCTTTTTGGATAGTTTTGTTTTTTCTTTATGAAGTTGTTTTGTTGTCACATGTTGTTGTATGTATAGTTTATAATTGGGATCATAACCCCTTTATTTATAAGAAGATACTCTTTCATGAAAAGTGAAACTACTTGATTTCTTATTTACATTTTTGCACATCGTAAAAATAGAAATAAGACTTTAGGTACATACACAATAATTTTCATGACAATTTTTGTATATAACTATATACCTTACTTGAATTAGATCACTTTAATTTATCTACTTATAATAGTAACCCTAAATACAATTTAAATTTAAACATGTGAAACATAACATTTCTTACAAACATTGCCTTAAGGATACTTTTCCTAGACTGTTCAATATTGCAGTTAATAAATTTGCTATAGTGGTAGATTATCCTGTGTTTGGAACCAAGGAATAAGGAAGTGGAGGGTGGCTTGGAGACATTGGTTTTTTGATGGAGAAGCTGAAGTCATTTTCCTGTAAGGTTGGCCCATGACAACCGAGAAAAAGTTGGGCTCTAGCTCTGATATCATGTTAAAGTTTCATCTCAAAACTAATTGACAATGAGAGGAGTAGCCCAACAGATATTTAAACTATTTCCGATACAATGAGGTAGGCGATGTGAGACTTACTTCCCAACAAAAATCTCATGTCAAATTATTTTTTCTTTTTGTGTTTTTTTCTATGTATTTCCCACCCAGTTTTGTTCCCCTAATTAGAGAGGGTTTATTGCATTTGAATACAAAATCATAATTATATTCAAATCAATAAATATACTAAATTAATGTTTCTTAATATAATATGGGTTTGGATGTGATTAGTCTCCAATCAACCATGCAATAAATAATTCGTCTCACTCATAGTAAATTAAAAATAAAAGGATTTATAAGGTGATTTGATGATTAAAGAGAATGAGTGAAGTGAATGAAGTTGATGGTTCGAGTCTCATCCACAACAAATACTAACATTTGCGGATAAAAAAATAATAATTTCGTTATGCAGATTGAGCATATATACCTTAAAGTTAAACCATGAAAGATAATAATTGACTTGGTATGTTTCAAGGCAATTACTGACCGTGAGTCATAAACGTTGAAGCTATTCTGATTTGTGAGTAACACACGACCACTTCACTCTTGTATACTCTAGTTTATAAAGTAATAAGAACACAAATATGTTTGTTTCTGTCATTGTTTGCATGGGTTTCTATTATAGTTTCAGTTCAATAATTTAATTGATTGATTCCTCTAGTCCTGCAAAAACCATGAAGTCCATGATTATGTCACTCAAGGATATTCTCTAGCATATACTGTTAATTTAATAGGGCTAGCTCTTTCTTTTAAAGCAAGATCCACTTTTTATGTTCCTTTAGATTATAGATTATTTTTTTAGCATAAGTGATTGAGCCATAAGGTTTATACACATATTTAAGAATTCCAACTATGTAAACTAAATATCAGAAGGTACTCAGAGTGTATACACTAAATGCTTACACAAATTAAGTCTATAGACAGAAAAAGACTGAAAGCCTTGGCTTCAATATAGGCAAAATTGTTATATTAATTAACAATTACTGGTTAATGTTTTTAGAAGTTACTAGTTTGAATGAAAGTGATATTAGTTGGCAATTGATGGATCAAATTAGTGAGGTGTTGTTAACTTCCCCTCTCTTACTTCATGGGTAGTTTCCATGAAAGTGAAAGAGTTATTTTCTCCAATAACTCCTCATAAACCCTTCTATAAATAGAGCATTTGTGCATTGGAAAAGTCATGTCATTCTTTGTTATCTCATGAAAAGAAACACAAAGTGAGAATTAAATAAACATTAGTGAATGAGTAAGGAAAGTGAAGTTCAATATAGAGAATGAAGTAAATTGAGTTCCTAATCAATAATAAACACATAAACGGAAGGCAGAGAAGTGAAAAGAAAGATAGCAAGTGCAGTAGAAGAGATACTAAAATAGAACCGGATATTCTTCAATCTATTCTTTTATCACATATGAATATCATAATATCAAGATCCTAATTAAATGGTTCTTATAAACTAACATTAAAGGCTCATAAAAGTATTTTTAACTACAAACATCACCCATTTGATAAGAAAGTGAAATAGATATTAACAATTTAAGTAAATACACAAAAGGAAAATAAAGATTCTTAGGTAAACAAAAGACTTGTGTTTCATGGAAAAAAAGCTGAGAACCCACAAGCTTACACTAATTACAAACAAAGTTTTATCTCATGTACTACATAAGGTTTCATCTCAAAATCAATTAGCGATGAAAGAATGTAGCCCAACATATATTTAAATCATTCTCGAGACAATGAGGTAGGCGATGTGTGACTTACTTACTAACACGTCAGAAGCTGATTTCTTTTCATCTGCTGATGATAGGAAACCAACGTTCTTGGAAGGAAGAATGATAAGAAATCATGAAGAGTAGAAGAACAAGAATTAAACCAACTCCCCAAGGAGTTCCACCAGCTCTATGAAGTGAATCTCTCTCTGGCAAAGGAATAAAAGAAGATAACATGCCTCCATCTCCATAGTTTGAAAGTAAGTGCACAACTAAGAGAAGAAGCAATGGTGAAACCATTAATATCAACTTCACTTGGTCCATCATGCTCTCAAATATGTTCTCGTAGTTTGAGTACCATGAGAAAC